GAGCGATGTGTATCATATTTGCAGTGCTAATTTTGAACTTAATCACCGTCCTTGGAAATTTCTTTGATAACGAATAATCGATTGTACGAAGATGAAGGGGGATTGAGTCAATACATAATTGAAGTGACATAATGAGTGAGAGATATACATCTAATGATGAAAGATTTGCAATTTCTTATAAAAAAAAAAGGTAAAAAAAATGGAATTATTTGTCTCATGTCTGTTTCTACCGAGATGTAGATTATAATTATTATCTTGGTCTAACTTACTTTATCATTTTCAATATAGTTCTATGAATAAAACTGGGAAAATAAAGGTAATCTATATTGGTAGAAATGAACATTAATTAATTATCAACATTAGATTGGTATGATAAACTAATATAATAAATTTTTATAGTCATAACAAATATTGAATTTGAACGTAAAAAAAAAATAGTAAAACGTTGCCTCGCCGTAAAACTTTATTTCTATGTGATTTTTGGACGATATTTGGACGAAATTTCTTTACATCAGCGTGTTTGTTGCCACACGGGCATCTTGTCGAAGTAGTAAAAACTTCACGCAGTCTAGTTCTGCTTCTCTTTTCTTCCATTTATTATTCGGCCATGCACACCACCCACGCGACGCAACTATTTTTGGACATGACCCGTCATGTGTCGCGCACGCGTGTACACACGTGTAAACACATTTCACGTTGCGCCAGCACGCGACGGCCTTTGTTTATATTTTTACTGCATCGCGTGAAAAAGCGAAACTACGCCTTACTGCAAGTGTCAGCGGAGGGACACTCGTCGTCTACCGTTACATTCATGACGCATCAACGCTTTGTTTCTTTTTTTTTTTTTTTTTAATCTCATTTTATCTTTGCCCCATTTTCTCGAATAAAAGATTGAATCCAAATATTAATCCAAAGTGTCTTGAAAAATTCGATATTAATTCGAGATCAATAATTCGTTAATTAACCGTTTTCTCGCGAAAACCTACTTCAGTAAATTGGAATGGTCATTTTTCTTAGCTCGTCTTTCGCTATCTGAAAGGAAGTGCGCAACTTCCGGGGGCATCGCGTACACACGTGTAGAATAGAAGGATGGGAACCGATTGGGTTTCCTATCTGCGCCACTTAATTCATTCGAGGAAGTAACGGGCTCGTAACGTATTTTGCTTTACGGATACAGCCATGGAGGGCGCCGAGCGATATTTCTAACGTACTTTATTAATGAGCCGCGCGGTCAGCTGTTGAAATCCATATTGGGGTTGCTGGCCCCGAGTGCACCCCCATGTCTTTTCTCCCGTCTCCCTATACCGACCCCCACTAGCGCGCTAGCCCCCCTTTTCGAGCCCTTTGTATTCCGCGTGACGCGTGTACGTCGAGTGTTTGCACGCGTGGGGGGCATCAGCTGTGCACGCAATCGCGTGCCCCTGTCTAACGAAACCCCAGGGGCGGCAGACGGATCGTTGCAAAAGGGTCGGCATTTAAAATCAGGATAGCGCCCGCATATCTCGTCCTCGGATATTTAAAAAGCATCGCGCAGAAAAATAATTGCGAAATCCCTTATCGGTGCGCATTCTTATTGTGACAACTTTTGAATCTTGAAAGATTTGCCGCAACACATTCTTAAGTTTGTTGGATAATTAGAAAAAAATGTATACATATCAGAATTGTGAGAGATCGGCAATGTTTAGACTGTAATATTGTATATTACAATAAAATATATTCATGAAGTATTTATAATAATAAGTAAAAGGATTTTAATAAGGATTTTAAATAAGGGAAGTGTTAGAAGAACGAAATATAGATGCTGCAATTTTAATAATTTTTTTAATTTCACGTAGCTCGACAAACGACAAAAGTACGGGAAGATTGACTAGAGAATTGGACAGATGCACCTATTTTCATCGCGTGGAAACTTCGCCAAATGGTACTCTGAAGGGGTGCCTTTGTACCTTTGGGGTGTATCCGCTTATGAGTCACGTCCAATGAGCTTCTTTTTCAAGCTCATATTTTCAGGATCATATTTTTATTTTAAATTTGTTAAATATAATGACTTATATGAATTTTCATGTATTATTTATTATATATAGAAAATAGAATTTTTTAAATATATTTTGAACATTCAAATATCGTGTCTACTTATATATTTTTCGAACACTCGATCGTTTCTTTCATTTCTTAAATATTTTTAATCGCGCCAAATTTCGTCACGAGCCTAATTTGATATTTGTTTCGTGGTAACGAAAATATTTGTCTGAAAATTGCAACTGCGTTCAAACGTGCAATAAACATAATAAAATCCTGACCTCGCGCTCTTATCTCGCGATATAATTAACGAATATGGTACGACATAATATTTTGAAGGTTATCAGAGGAAAGATTTTGCTTGCATACATGCGGTCGGGAATAAGCCGGATTGTGCATAAGGTTAAGTGGCATTGCATGCGATTATAAGAAATCGAAGCTGAAGATAAGCTGCGAATTGCTTACGCTGTCCGTCCGCCAGATGCGTTCCGAGATACTTTGACTTACTCCAGATGCAATATATATTAATAAATAAATACAAATAACAACTATAGGTAAATTAAAAGAAGTACACACACACACACACACACACACACATTATATAATAAATAATATTGCTTTCTATAAAATTCTCTTAACCCTTATATATGATATACTCCAATTTTCTTTTATATACATACTAATTTTTTTTATTAACTCTCCGTCAGCAATATAGATCTTTTTTGTCCAATCCAGTTTTTATCATTTTAGGTTTTTCAAAAAATGTGGAAAAATTTAAAATTACTTGTCAACATTTCTCTATTACTATATCGAATAATGTTTAACTTAAATTTAAAATTTTTATTCATTAAAAAGTAGAAAATGAGAAAGAAATTTGTGTGCTTTGCTTGTGCCAAAAAAGATCTAGATTGTAAGGAAGGATTAATTAAGATACATTGCTTGGTTATCATTATATTTCTTAATATTTGATGTTTCGATTGAAAAAATTTGTTATAATATGTTCAGTGTCTAAAAATCTAGCTATACACAGATTTAAAAATAACTTATTTTCAGATGTAAAATATAGCTAAATTTTTACTGATAGAATATTAAAACTTTTTGCATTGCCATTAACATTCTACATAATTATTTTGATTGTCCAACATTATTGTTGGATATTTTCAAATCTGTATACAAAGAAATTTTTCGATACTTCAAACAAAGTTATTCTTTCCAAAACGCGATGTTTCACTGTACTCTTTGGCGAGTCTCGACTCGAAATTAGAAATTAAAATATTATTCGAAACGAGAGTTTACCTTTAGATTCTAGTCTATTTTTCGACGAACCTGTCACCTCGGTTATGTAAAGACACGTTTTCTTTGTTGTCTGTTTCAGACTTTATGAAGAGTCGTAAGCGCAACCTGAACGGTACCACAAAGAGCATGATAGAGCCGCCGGAGAAGATCGCTCGCAACGCGGGTCAGATACGCAGCTAAAAATCCTTCAGCTTTCTTATTCGAATGTCGCCTTTTTCCACCTCGTTTGTACACAACGGGAGACAGTACCGGAAGTGAGAAACTGCATTACCGTGTGGAATAACGGGGAAAGAAGAGGGGTAGGGACTCTGACAGGAGGCGCGAGGTCCGCGTTGGCTGTGCCATTCATATAGTTTTATCCGCCATGAGCGCAGGCGAAATGAATGAATAAAAAGAAAAAAAAAATAAGAAAAAATAAGAAACAGGAAGTAACGCCGTTCTCCATCACGTATATCTTCGTCTGTCATATCGCTTTGTAATACCGCGAGGATTATGAGAATAGTAACAACGATTAAGAAAGAACGTGAGACGAGGGAAAGGATAAGATGGAGAGTCAAATGCGAAGGTTGCTTGATGGGGAAAGAGAGAGGAAAAGAGAATGACTCTCGTCGCTATTTTTTTATAATATGTGTCACATCATTTTCTGTATTAGAATATAGAATAAGTAATCCTAAGGAGAATATAAAAATTAGATTGTAGATAAAGAGTAATATGATTTGTGTCCAAATTAATTAATGTAATATATTCATTGTTTGTTTCTGAAACGTTCGTAGAAAAATGTTTAAACGATGTCGTTACACAAACACGTTACGGAAAAAAAGAGAGAGAGAGAGAAGCTAAGAAATACATGCAAGTTTATATATAGGCTATTCTCATAGGGATTAGAGCTGATTAGATTCTAAGATATAAAACAGAGTATATCGCGCGTATTCATTGGATCTAATGGAAGGGGATGTTTGAGCTCGTCCATGGAAGTTCGGTACTCGTGATTGCCCGGTGATGAAATTCTAAAACTGTGTAAAATCTATTGAAAAACAGTTCTGTGACAGATATCGCGCCAATTTCGATGCTGCGTCCTTGAAATGCGTGCGATATTAAGAATTAACTTTAAATTTCTATATTAAGTTTCACGAGTTTTTGTTGAAATTGTCAAACACGTATCGGACATGGCCTTGCGAAAACATGAAGAGGAAAAGTGCAAAAGAGCGGTTGCGATTCCGTGGTCAGAATGCGACCAGCTTTAAGGAAGAAGAGAAATATATAATTTAGCTGTAGTTTGTTACCCAAGTTTAAGCATTGATCTCCTGTACGATTTTAAGAAAGTACAGCCGATGCCAAATCATCCCGTGATTTTTTCTTCTCTGCCTATTAAATACAGAAAACAAAAGAAGATTCGTCATCTCCTTTTTCCTTTTTCCCTTCCCTTTTTTCCTCCCATATCACATTCGTTTCCGGCAGATAATGCGAGAGACACGTAATTCTCATAAAGCTTTTACGGAAAAAACATGGTTTGATTTCCTCTTTTATATCATCATTTTCATTTGTTTTTTATGTTGTGAATTAAAATATCAAGTTTTTTTTAAATATTTTTACATGACTTTCGGTTAAAAATTGAATTCCTCAGTTTTGCCGCGATATATTCTCTTAGATATTCATTTATAGACAATGCTTTTCACCCTCAATGCTTTAAATTTCCACATTTCAATTTATTTAGACAATGTAACAGCTTACATTTACATAAAAATTTAATTTAACCTAGTCTTAAAAAAACGATCAATGATTTTGATATATCTCCGTTATGTTAAAAATTCATCACAATGACATTAACTTTTTTTTTTAGTCATTATGTACATATATAATTTCAAAAGAAATAAAATTATATGTAAGAAATTTCAAGTATTTAACAAGAAATCAATATAGTTCGCAATACTTTATTTTTGTAATTGGTACGAAGAGAAGCATTTTCTTTGACAAACATCATTGAGATCGACAATTAAGCATTTCAAAGTGTAGAAAAATTCCAGTGCAAATAGTAAAAAGAGCGTTTTATTTTGTTCGTCACAACAACGAATTTATGAACCTTAAAATATTAGAGCGTACTATCTAATTGTATATTAATTGAGTTTTATAATGGTAGCTGTTTATCATACACGACTTTTTGTTTGTTAACACCCCATTAACGCGATCCTCGTCAAATATTCTATCGTATCTTGCTCCTCCTGATACTTCTTTCTCCTGCTCTCCATTTCCTTTTTGAGATTATAATCCAAAAATACGACTGGTGGTTACAAGCTATTTTTTCAACGCCCGCCCGTAATACCGAGCGTGTGGGAGAGAAGCGATGAAAAGTGTAACAGATAAATCAAATTTAAACGTACGCATTGATCACAATATCTCATTTTCTTCCGCGCGGAATAAAAAGTCCAGAGTTTCGTAAAAATTTACAAAATAGTAGTCGGATTGAAAAATAACTATCATTGATTATGTTCATGAAAGATTCGGCACCTCGCGATCTTGATATTAGTACAGCAAATCATTAAAAACAAAAAGCAAGTCAATTTAATCTGACGATGCCACTATGGACGCACTCGGAGAAGAACAGTGATAGCAACGATAGCAATTATGTAAGTGACAACTACAGAAATTTTTTACTATGTAGAATTAATATACACACACACACACACACGCACGCACGCACACATACATACTGAATAAACTATTTTATAATTGTAATAATTGTACATTAATTTTACATATAGAACTTGTATAGTTGCCACCAGTATAAGAGTTGCCTCTTTTTCTCTGATTGCGTAAGACATTTTTCTAATAGGTTTTTACTCGAAAACGCGGCAGGATCGTGATAATACTTTCGAGCTTAGTGAAAAAATTATTTTTCATCTAATGGCACATTGCAAAATTAAAGCTTAGTGATCGAGGGTTCTCTACAGTATACGGTGTCACCGTTGGATTAAAAAAAAAAAAACAAGAATCTTAGAATCTCATAAGATCTGAGAAAGTCGCGACGCGTGGTGCCTGTCGTGGAGAAAACTTAAAAAAAAAAAAAATAGCAAAGAGAGAAAAATCTAATGTTTATGTAACCCTGTGATGTATTAGTATGATCTCAGTAAACATAACTTAGCGTGTACTTCTTATCTATAATAATTAGATTATGTATGTATATGCGATAGCGAGAAATTGTGACAGACATTTGAAAAGTGTCTCCCGTAGTAGAGTATAAAAATTAGAAATCACGGATCAAGAGTCGACAATTCCCGATATTTGTGTGTGCGTGTGCGTGAGTGTGGTATATGCATGAGAGTCCTGCAGAATGAAAGATGAAAGAAAAAGATAGAACAGGAGGCCACCTAGTGAATCATGCCTCACTTTCAGTCGATACTCCACGACTAAAATTATATATGTGTAACGACAATATTATATGATGTATAATTATATATATAAAAAAACTGTAACTATAAGAGAGTCTAAAAAACTAACTAACTAACATAAGTGAATTGTGACCCCCAATTGTTTATTAAAAAAAGATCTATCTATATAAAAAATTATCCTTTTTTTTCTCTTTCAATTCTTATCATATCCTTGTATTTTATATATATATATATATATATATATATATATATTCAT